GACATTCTGTAATGAATGTGGCGTTTACCTTCTGCGTACATGATCCGATCTCAACGAAACTTCACATGTTTGATAAGAGTCCCGACCTGAACACGTCTATGTGATAATATTAAGTAATAATGAGAGTGTCACCTACTGGCAATACGAAGTAAGCGCTGCGTGGTGAATTTGTGAACTATGTCCTCACAGCAAATTGCACCTGTATGGCGGGGTAAGTAGTAGTATTATTTGGTGTTGTAGACTTTTAGATAACAGTTCAGAGGTGCGTTTCCCAAAAACCATAGATGAACTATGTTAACAAACTTAAGTTAGCAACTTTGTTGGTTGCAATGCAATTTCCAACTAAGTTGCTAACAGGTTAGCATAACATAGCATATAAGTTGCTAACAGGTTTGCTATGGTTTTGGGAAACGCACCCGAGAGCTCTATGATATACGTAGTTGTTATGCAAAGATGAATTATGCTTCTATGTTAAACCTCATTTACACCCTACGGACTGAGCTCAAAATCACCAGCGTAGACTCAAGAATGTGATTTAATGTGAGTGTTGTATCTACACAGTCTGCAGTTATGAATTATGAATCAACCTTGACATGATGGTAGCGGCTCTCCACACATCACAGATGTCTTTCTCCCCTCGTGTTATAATTCAGAATTTCAGACTGCGCAGATGCAGGTCAGATCTGGAAAAAGAGAAAATCCTTTAACGGGGTAAAAATTGAAGCTACCTAAATTTGATTTATTATTTATTTATTTAATTTTAAGTTATTTTTTGGGCCTTTGTCTTTATTAGATAGGACAGCCAAAGATAGACAGGAAAAGTGAATAGAGAGAGAGGGGGGATGACACGCAACAAAGGGCAGCAGGGTGGATTCAAACCCGGGCCCAACAGCAACTCTGTATATGGGTCACCAGCTCTACCGGCTGAGCTAACCAGGTGCCAAGCTACCTAAATTTTGTCAGAACTACTGTAGTACTGGGCAAATGATCTCCTGTCACTCCACACTGCTCAGGCTTGTTGACGAAGAGTTATCAGATATCAGCAGGGTGGAGCTCCAACTGGAGCCACTGAGAATGACTTTGGCAGGTTTAAATAGATTTCATCAGAAGAAAACAAAGACATGTACAATCCTGCTGAAAGGAGTTATAAGGAATGAAAATTTAAGAATGTTCCAACAGCATCATTTTCTTAGTAAGCTGAGCTGTTATTGATGAGACCACTGAGGCAATAAAACAAACAAAGATCGTAAAGGTGGACAGGGAGGTCAGTCACACAGCAGAAGGTAGATGAACAGGGTGTAGAGGAGAGGAAACAACAGCTCAGATTCAGAGTTGAACTGTGGTGAACACAATACTGATACATAAATTTGCACTGTTAACCTGTAACAAACTGTCTATATAGAGTTGCCCTTTGAGGAGATGGACAGTCTCAAAATGGAGGAAGCTATTGTAGCTTATTAGCTGCGTATCACCATCCAGTTTTATTGAAGCTCCTCTGTCAGAGTATAAAATGCTCCAAAAGAGACATGGTTTACATATAGTTGAGGCGTGATCACATTATAGCTCAGTTTATTGTCTGAGACATCTGAAGCATTCCACTGTATACAATATGGCCTAGACAGATAAGTTACATGACATTACTACTCTAGTTCTTCTATGGGGGGTAACTTGTTTTGTGACTTTTTAGGCAAGCAGTCATCATGGCAGTGCTTTTCATGCTTATGCTATAGACTTTTTGGGTCTATCATGCCCAGAACTTCCAACCTAATGCAGAGGGATTCAAGATTTAAACACGAAGATTGCTAGGCACAAGCCACAGGAACAGGACAGAAATTACTCCACTAAGTCAAGTAGACGAGGGAAAAGTCTATCTCAGACTAAACGGTCTGACATTGTGGCGCATTTCGCTTCCCTTAATGATTCTTGCAAATGTTCAGTCGCACAGGAACAAGACCGACAAGCTGCAGGCAAACACAATCCATCCACACAAATACAGAGAGGCCTGCATCATGGCTTTTAGTGAGACATCATGTCTTCAGACACAGACTCAGATCTCACAATCAGCAGCTTCAGGGGCACCTATCAGACTAGACAGGAACCCAGAGGCCAGAGGGAAATCTGTCTCTGTCCCCAGTAGTGTACATATACTCAAAAGCAAACGCCCAAAATGCCACACCATCTACAGAGTGACTCAAAAACTCCAGTCCCTTTCCCCTGATGCTCTGTGCTTGTTAATAGGAGA